TTTAATTATATTTATGTTTTCTTTTTCTTTAAATCTCTTTTTTGAAATGAGTATATCTAAAATAATATTTTTTATTTCATCATTTCATTCATAATTTCATATTGTTTACTAATATTGAAATGAATAAAAAAAATGCCATTACTTTTATTTTTTTCAATTTTATGAGTCTTCTATTGACTTTATTTTTATACTTTTTCTCCCCTTATTGAAGAAGACATTCTTTATCAGTTTAACTTCTTTTTTTTTCAATTTTTTTCTTGTAAATTCATTATATTGTCTGGGGTTGAAACGAGTATTGCTTAAAATTATTTTTGTTATATTTAACATATTTTTTACACTTGTTCTTAGACATACTAGATTTAATGATGATTGATAATTTTTGTATGATTGAATAAGTTTTATATCAAAATAACATTAAAATACAGACAAGTTTGTAGTTGTATTCTTCTTATTTATTATATATAAACAAAAAAAATATTTAAATACATTAAAGAAATCAATTACAAATTATAATAATGAAATTAAGAAAAATTAAACGACACCCAAAAACGTGACGTTACATCCTCATTTTTAACACCTTTGTTCTGTAATTAGAAGAAATATGATTTAGGTGAAATGGAATTTGAAGTCCAAGAATTAAATTTTGCAAATTAATCATCGAGTTAAGGTTCATTTAGTAAGTTTAGAATTTTTGCTGAATTCTAAAAAATCATAACTAAAGCTAGAGAATTTGTATGAGGATGATCTAAAATTTATTGAAATCTATTTAAGCCCTTTATCTCAAACAAATATAGTTATGGCTTTTACTAATGCCAAACAATACAGTTTACAGCTTTTCTAAACTTGCTTTGTTTCTTGAATAGAATCTGTACCTTAAATGTAAAAATTCATAACTAATTATACAAAACTGATTTTGACATTATTCTTAGTTCATTTTAAACCTTGACGAGCCCTCTAGATGATAAAAATAGGAAACAGGACTTTAATTGGGCCAACTGATACATATAATACGTTCACTTAAGTTGCTTTGTTTTCATGACTGATTCTGACCCTTCGTTTAGAAAATTAATAACTCAAGCTACAGAGCTCCAATGATACGGTTTTGAACCTTCTGGAATATTAGGATGTCTATATTATGAATATAAAATTATTAGAGTCAAAAGATTCCATTTACTGTAAACATTTTAATGAAACAGTAATAAACCTTTAGAAAATCCTGCATCAGGCTAGTATTTACATGCTTAAATCTTAGCTCCAATTCTATAGCTTCAACTCATGGTTTATCACTTTAGACATACAAAGGATGCATGGTAATATTTTTGAGTGAATTTATATAACTGACATAAATTTACATGTGATTTAAAATATAAGGGCTTGTTGTTTTCTATTTTTAAAAATTGTTTTTTGTTTTTGAAAATAGAAAAATTTTAAAATTTGTTTGAATAAGTGCTTTTCATTAGTTGTTTCAAAAACTGTTTTCATCTTTTGTTTTAAAAACAAAAAAATAAAAAACAACTTTAAATTTTTTCGTTTTATTTTTCTTGTTCTTAAAATATATTACATTTGATTATAGAAAATAATAGTTATCTTGATTAATTTTTATTATTAATTACCTATAACCATCACTATTAGTCCATTTTTCTATTCTAAAACTGTTTTTAAATTGACATAACCGAACAAATTTTTATTTTATTTTGTTTTAAAAATAATTTTGAAAACTGTATTTCCAAAAAAAAAATGAGAACAGAAACCAAACAAACCCTAAGTCTTCAACTTGGCAATCAAGTGCCACTTACTTAATTCTTTAAATTCTTCTTCCTTCTTGTTCTTATTAACTTTCCACCTAACATGGTTAATAATTGGAATAAGACATTGAAGTGTTAATAGCAACATGACCATTCCACAAAGCATGATGCATATATGGCAGAACTTCACATATCATTGTACCATGAAAGAACTTCACATAAAGCATTTAGAAACTCATAACATCACATCAAAACTTTACATAAATCATTTCATGACAAGGATAAGATCAGATGAAAGAAAAGGTCAAGTTGCTGCCTTCCAACTCTTGCTTTTCATTCCTTCCAATCTTTGAGGTTTACTTGACCAAACCTCTAAATCATCTTCCTTTGTAACCAATGGCCATAAATACATTAACACAATATTCATTTCACTCATTAAAGCCATGGAAAACAATTATTCATAACTTGTTCTAACTTGCTTTCTTTGGCCTCAAATTTCACTTAGTTATCCGTAAGCTTTAACTTCACACACATTGTCTTTTCCCACTTGATTTTTCATGATGGATTCAATGGTGATATCTTTTTTATGAAAATCCCATCCTCCTAACGTACATGCTCTTTACAGAACAAAAAGGGTTCTTAAACCTAAAATGACCCCCTTCTTTATTTATACCCCAAACTCTTGTTTTCCACCAATTGGAATCAATTCCTAACATCATGAGAACATCTATATATATATATATATAACACTTTAATCCCACGGATACGAGTTCAGCATATCAGGGCTACCAATCACTCTTCAATATAGCAAGCTACTGTAAATGAAAACCATGATAAAAGGAAGTTTACACTAATCTCTCCTCTTTTAGTGCTTGATTCTAGAACTTTTTCTTCTTGATATAGGTTGCTGTCTTCAAAACTCTTACTATAAAAATCTAAAACCATATGAATAAAGTTCTTGATGCAAGGAACAATTTTTGTGAAGAGTGTTTTGGGATTTCAGGTGGATTAGTGGGAGAATTATCTCAGTTTTTGTTTCTCTCTCTTTTAACCATTTTTGAATGCTTGCAGTTCTCTCTCTCTTGCTTCTCTCAGTCTCATGCTGCAAGACCACCGAAAATTAGGCTAAAGGACAAATGAACTATGGTTAAACTTTAAAAATTAAACCAAGTTTAATAATGTTTCAATTATGCAAATTCTAACCAAGCATTTTTCCATTTTAATTTGGACCGAGTATAAATTAGAATTTTTAAATCAAACACTTGCTGCTGGTCCAAGGACGCTACAATCTCTTAAATTGTGCTTGGAATTATTTCATAAGGTTTTTAATTTATGATTGGTAGAAGTTTTGGTGATTTTCTTGGCCTAATTGGATAAAAATTCCAAGATTAAATCTTTCAACAATTACTAGCCAGTAAAAGAATGATGTAATTCTTCTAAATATTTATCTTCCTTCAAATACTTCAAATAGTATATTTCCTTCGATTATTTCTATATTTTGGGTGATATTTCTGCAATTACACTTTAATGCCCCAAACTTTCTAAATTCACATTTTGACCCGAGTTGAACTTTATATTATCAGGTTAACATACACTTTTTGCTCATCTTTAACTTTGATACTTTCTCATAATCTCATTATATTATTTACATATCTTAAGAATTAGTATTAACCATTTTGTTTCGAATAGGCTATTTCTCTTGCTTGCTCTTCTTCTCTTTCTTTTATTTGCCTAGATAACAAAGTTGATGATTGCTAATAAAAAGAAATAGTTTAATGCTGTATACCACATTATTAATTGGCAATGATTAAAACAAATTTATATAATTAAATTCGTTCTGCAATTTTTAGAAGGTAAGTAATTTGATGGTTAGAAGAAATTTGTTTTCTGCCTTGATGATATCTATGCATAATTAATTACCATATACCACAAATATTAAAGTATTTGGATTTACTAAGATACGTGGTATTTTAGGTTATAGTGTGTGCGTGTGTAAGTATATCATATGAAAACAATATTATCTGTTTTATTTTATTTTTTAAACAATCCAATCAGTTATAAAACTGTTAGGCAATAATATACATTTGATCTTTTAGCTTTATACAAGATTTCATTTTGATCATGTAATTTTATTGTATTTTCAGTCCTCTAATCCTGTTTATCAACAAAAATAAAAATGCCGACATTGATCTTTTAAACATTGATAAAACATTCTCAAATTTGATATATTAAGTATAAATTTTTAGACTAACAATGAATAGTACAAAAATATCATTTAAAACTAATGATATTTGAGTCAAAGGATAAAAAATGTTTCATAAAATTAAGAAACTAAATTAAATTGTTATATAAAATTAGAGGAGCAATGATGCATTTTTGCCCAAAATGTTATTACCTCTCAGTTTTCTTTTCTTTTTTTTTCAGGTTTCAACTCAAGGAAATAGGCTTTGTTAAATTTGAAATCTTATCTTTGGGAACATGCCATTTAAGTGGGACATATTCCTTTCAATTTCGACATTAACACGCAATTAGCATTTTATTTATTTTTAAACATACTAATATGAAAACAAATCATAGTCAATGTCAATATTCAATTCAAACGCTTACACTTAAACTACATTTAACAAATAAAATAAGTCAAGACATGTCCTTATTATCTTTCTTTTTTAAGTTAATCCTCTTATGCAGAAGTTGTTATCCTTCAATTTATTTTTTATTTTTTGTCCAGGTTTTATACGCAAAGACATAGGTAATTTTGATATATGTAATGTCTTAAAATTGACCAGTAATTTTAACCAAAAAAAAAAAAATTGACCAGTAGTTGATTTCTCATACACCCTCTTCTATGTAGAGTCTCAAAGATATCTTCTCGTTAGACTTATCCTCCAATACATCAGTGATGACCCAAAAGATAAATTAATAATTAATATTATTATCTCATGAAAAAATAATTATAAGTATGTATTAAATTAATATAAAATAAAATTTATTAAATTAGTTACTAAAGAAACAATATATCTTTTATAATCAGTATAATAAAAATTATATTTTCAAATATATGGGTTTTAGATTTGAAAATTTGATGTTAAATTATGTATTTTCAGGTGGGGGCAAGTGAAATTTTTAAGGGGCAAGTGAAATTTTAGGGAGGGATTATATATGTAATTCTTTTCCTCATAACTAACTCTATCTTTCAACCTTTCTCATGACTTTATCACAGGAAGAGTGCAATTGCATCACTTCTCTTGGAAAAGTATGTGTTTCATTGACTTGAGTTCCAACTCACTTCAAGGAGAGCTCACTTATTCAATTTGCAATGCTAGCTCACTTGAAGTTCTCAACTTGTCCCACAACAATTTCAGTGGCAACATTCCGCATTGTATTGGAAGCTCTAGCCTTGCTTCTCTTCATGTGTTGGATTTCCAAAACAATAGCTTTCATGGCACCATACCAGAAACATTTGAGGAGGGAAGCAAGCTAAGGACCCTAAATCTTAATGGTAATCTTCTACATGGTTTGTTGCCTCAATCTTTGGTCTATTGTGCAGACTTAAAATTTTTAGATCTTGGTAAAAATGGTATTCATGATACATTTCCCTATTGGGTTCAAGACCTTAAGGAATTGCAAGTGCTCGTTCTTAGGGAGAATAACTTACATGGTTCTATCCCTCATGTAAACAACAAAGCCAACTATACCTTCACTAACTTGAGAGTTTTTGATATATCCAACAACTACTTTCATGGTTCTTTGCCTACAACTTATTTCAAATATTTTGATGCTATGAAAAATCTCAAGGGAGAAACTAGTTTAGAATATATGGGTTATCAATCTCCAGTTTTTGGCACATATCAAGACTCCGTTGACTTAACCTTTAAAGGATTATGGGACTTTCATATAGAAAAGATCTTGATTATTTTCACATGCATTGATCTATCAAATAACATGTTTGAGGGAGAGATTCCCATATCTATTGGAGGGTTTAGTGCATTGACGGGGCTCAATTTTTCACATAATAGGCTTATTGGTGCAATTCCAAACTCAATGGGAAATTTGAAAAATTTGGAATGGTTGGACTTGTCATCAAACAATCTTATTGGAAAAATCCCAATAGAGTTGACTCATCTCAACTTCTTATCTATTTTAAACCTTTCACATAACCGACTTGAAGGCTGCATTCCTAGGGGCCAACAGTTTGAGACTTTCACAAATGATTCTTTCAAAGGAAACAAAAAATTGCGTGGCTTTCAACTAATGATTTCATGCATCCCTAATGTTAAAAGACAACCATCACTACAAAATTCAAGTTTTGAAGTTAGATTTGAATTTGGATGGAAACCTGTCATACTAGGGTATGTATGTGGGGCTTTATTCGGATCAACAATGTTCTGGGTTGTAGTATTTAGTGGTAAACCTCGAAGGCTTGCAAGTTTGGTGGATGATCTGCCAAAGATAGGAAGGAGAAGGGTAAGAAATCATTATTGATAGAAGCTATATCTACAATGTTTGTTTCAAATTTTCTCTTTTATCTAAAATTTTCTTTATTATCTTTTTCCTTCTTGTTAAATGTTCAAGTTCTTGTGTTTGTTGTTCAGTATATGTTAGCAAAGTTGTGAGGAGATCAAAGTCTTTTTCTCTTTGCTATAACAATTGCAAATCAAAATCTCATTCTCTTTGCTATAATAATTGCTTTTTGCAGAGTATCTTTTAGTAAATTGGGGGAAATCGCAGCCAAAAGTTTTAGCTTTATGCTACAATAATTGCTGAAATAATTGGTTTCTTTGTAAATATAAAAGAGATGGAATTCCACTTAGGAATAATTCAGTGGCAAGGTTAGGATGGTGTGTGTAAAGGGTCAATCATTCTATCGCTCCTGATTAATCAACGGGAAGGGAAAAGAGGGATGGAATATATTAGTAACTTAAACTGTTTGATTTTTGAAACCTTAATTAAGTGGATCAAGTTATCTAACACTTGTGATTGTAATGTCTTGGACGGTTATCATAACGGCACATTAAAAAGAGGAAAAAAAAACTAAATATATAAATATATATATATATATATATATAAACAATTTTCTTCTTGGGGGGTGTTTAATGTACTCATAATTGTCGAATTTGTGTTTGTATATTGCAATCTGAATATCTACAGCATTATAAGCCTCTCCTGTTGTAACGAAATTGTTGACGATTATCAGAGTAGATATATACATTCAACATGATAGCTTAATAAATGAAACTAAACTTATAATCCCAGTTCTTATTTTTCACACACTGTTTAGATTTGTCCTAATGATGAAGATCAGGTTTTGTCCATCCAAAAAAGCAGAATATCATATCTTCTCGTACTTACTGTTTATATTGGCCCTGTCAAAATGATATAGTTTAGAATTTAAATAACTGGCAGCATCAACCATTGGATAAGATGGGAACTAATGAACGGCCATGATTTTCACGTGGATAATTTCTTCCTATGTCTATGGGAAAGAATGGATGGCCATGATTAATTGGTGGTGTTTACAAAAGAGATCTCATCTACAACATCTCAAATCCAAATATACATTTTATTATAATTTCAAATCCCCCATACACCCTAGCTATTTAAAATGCTAGTTACCCTAACTCTCATGTCTTTGCATTTTCACTTCACATCTCCCTATTTCACTGTCTTTGAATTTGAAATTAACAAAAAAATTTAAATACATGGATTTTTAATTTGAGATTTTAAATCTTAAATTTAATTTAAATCTAAATCTATCAATCACTATTAGAAAAAATGAAATTAGTGATGGACAAATTCGTATTCATTCCCTTTCCTATGTACCTTTTACCAGTTGAATTATAAAGATTTTTCATTATTAATATACAAAATTTAATATATATTACTTAATTGAACACATATATTTAACTTAATGTATTTTTTATATATTTAACATGTTATTACTTAAATATATTGATAATATAAAGTTTCTCTCTCTCTCTCTCTCTCTCTCACAAAAACACATAAATACATACATTAAAACATATAAATATATAATTTAATATTTATTTGTTATCCCTTGAAAATAGGGTGTGATTGGCACAAAATAGATGCACAAAAGCCCATATCTTGTAAGCCTTAACTTAAGAAATAAAACATTTTCAATCATGAACGCATTTGAACTAGGATCAATCCACTTTCTATGCAAGTCATACAATAAAAGATTTAATAATTTTGTAAAAATTTTGGCATAACCTCTCCTAAAAATAGGGCCTTCTAAAAATTTTATAATAACATTTTTACACAAAACAATAACCAAGAGCTCAACTCCAATCAATAGACTAACAACTTAGGTAAACAAACTAGGATGCTAACTATAGCCTATGTAAAGCCCCTAAAGTAAGATTACAAAACATAATTAATAATTACAATGATTTATATCAAAAGAAGCTTCATTGACAATCTCTTAACTCATAAACAATACCAATACCCCTCAATAACCAGTGGTAGGTACAACATCAGTCAAAATATCTAAGGGAAAAAAAACTTTCAAGTAAATAACACCCCAATTTACAGTTGAAGTAAAAAATGGAAAGAAACATAAATGAGTCAACAAAAAACTTAATAAATTAAACGATTTAAATAATGTAAGCACATAGCCCATGGATAGATATTCATGTAAATGCATAAATCATGAACGTATGAATTCAAATAAGAAGGATTAAAAGTTCAAGTTCCACTTTAAAACTTCAACATCTACTTTAAACACTATTGAATTATATAGCTAAATATAAAAATTCATGCATGGTAAAAAGAATAGTTTGCTATACAAGAAAAAATTTAACAATAAGTTCCAAATCTCATTCTTTGGTGGGATTTAATCAGAATGATTAACAAGCATGGATACAAAATCTATGAGGGCAATTAATCAACAAACATGAACACACAATCCATGAAGGCAAGAAAACCCGCAAGCTTGGACACATAGTCCATAAGAATAAATAACCAACAAGTATAGATATTGTTGGATAATGTCTTTTGATGATTACAAAATCAAGAGAAGAGGTATTTATTGTGTGTACAGATATAAAGAATCATGGATGAAAATAACCTCAAGAGTATGAAGAATCAAGAGAAGATGAAGAAGTTTCGGATAAGTTATTTAAATTCTCTTAAATTCAATGTAAAAACTTAGAGAGCTTAATCACTTTTCATAATCATTAAATGAATGCATCATATGTCTCATTTATATGTATTAAGATTCATAATGTGTTAAAGCTTGCAAACAATGTCTTTCTTACATGTTGAATTTCATAGAAGCTGTTTGTAGTGTGAGAAGCAAAATCACACGTGATTCTGCAGGTTACTCATGAGTTTTTGCATGTTAGGCACACTGACTGCTAGATCACGTAAGTGTGAAGAAATGATTCACGCGTGATTAAGCACTTTTGTTATGTGATGCCTTAAGCTTTGATTCTGCATGGAAAACCACGTGGGAAAGTCTTTGCTGTCCATGCAAGTTTTAGCATTTATGCTTCATTGCATTGTGTCAAAGTGAAAAATTAAACCACACATGAAACTGATGGTAGCCATGCGTGATTTATCACTTATTGTACAATCACATTTTGCTTTGTTGAGTCAGAAAGTCTCAAGCCAGGCTAAAATTGTTCACATCTATGATCATTGATTCACAAATCTATATCTTTTGATCATGCAAAATCTTGCTTGAGTCATATGTAGTTCCATGCGTGAAAATGCACCAGATGAGTTTGTGCTTTAGTGCTTACAATTTCACATGTGATAGCTTTCTGGTTCTACACGAGTTTCGATCACATAGAACGGCTTTGGCATTCTACCAGCCATTTCACATGTGAGAGCTAATGGTACACTTGCAAATTTTATCACTCTGATTTATGAGTATATTCATAAGTGCAAAAACATGTGAGAGAGCAATGAGGTGCCATACGAGTTTTAGCACACAAAACTAAATGTTTATTCATAAGTGCAAAACCACACGAGAGAGCAATGAGATACCACATAAGTTTTAGCATGCAGAACTGAATGTTTATTCATAAGTACAAAACCACACAAGAGAGTAATAAGATACCATGCGAGTTTTAGCACACAAAACTATATGTTTATTCAGAAGTGCAAAACATGTGTGAGAGGTCTAGATGTTCTCACGTGATTTATCACATATACTTTTCTAGAACAACTGCAGTACAAAGATTGATAGTAAATGATACTATATGAATAAAAGAATATTAAGATGAATAGTTTCAGAAGAGTAAAATGGGAAAACTAAGCCCATGGGTTAAAAGTGTATGTCTAAAGGCCATATTTTTTTTTGTTTAAGAGTGCTAACTAGTTGTTAGTACTCTTAAACAAAAATTCGGCAACATAACGGCATAAAATAAGGACTTTCCCGGGTATTTAACCCTCTCTTCATATTCTACACTTTCAGTTACATCTGACAATTATTTTTGGTGATATGCAATTTTTCTATTACAAAGTTCTTTGATTTGGTACAAAAATGTGAATGCACTTTCTAGAATTCAATCATTAAAGCTCACAAGCTTTATTTTTTTAATTTAAAATCAACATCAAGCTCACAAAAAGTCATAGAAGCAAATTCAAGATGAAGTTCACAAAATTTAATCCATAAATTAAACCAAAATAAAGCTTAAAGTACCTATAAAGCTTAAAGCTAAGCAGGACATGGAAGTAAGGATTAAAGCTTGAAAGGGAACCACAAGCAATAGTTAAAGCTGCCCACAAGAAAAATTAAAAGGAAAAAACAATGAACACTAAATGCAGTTGCAGCATGAGCATGAGAGAGGAAGGGAGAAGACATAATACATAGGCACAAGCAAAATTCTGAGTTTCAAGCTCCGCCTGGGTTTAATATGAAGCCTAGTTCAAGCAGAATTGTTTGACCAACTAACTCGGTTTAATCTGAGCTAATAACGTTGAAATTTTCTCCTTTCAAACATTTTATTGAACATCTTATGCACACCAACGTTCAATCTATAAATCTAATCTTTTTTCTCCCCAAATATCGTCCCAATAAATTCAGAAGTGAGTAGTAAAGAGATAACATGCCCAATTAATTCGAGCATAGACAAACACGCAGAGCACACCCAAGAAGTTGAAGGAGCTTACAATGAATTGAAGCCAAAAAGTTGCTACTAAAGACAAACACAAAGTTTTGGAACTCACAGCCCAAACAAAGATGAACTCGAAGGATTAGTGGGTTTTGGTTCTGGGTTTCCGACGAAAATGATGATGGGGTTCTGGGTTTCTGAGAGTAATGATGAATGCAAGCGATTTTGGTTTTGCCGAGAACGAAAATTATCGAAGAATAGAAGTAGAGCATCAGGTCTGTTATAGGGTTGCTTATATAGGACGGTTGAAATGAAAACCGTCCTTTATAGCCACCACATACAGGACGGTTAAATATGACAACCGACCTTTATAAGTTTATGTTTTTTAAAAAAAATTCAAAA